TGTTTTCAGAATTTATAGAAATCTGCTTTATTTTGCATCTGTTAACGATGGGAATCTGGATGGTTATTGAGAGTTAGTAAAAGCTCAGCTAAGTTATCCTGATTTCATTTCTATTCTTATGTAGTTACATATGTGGGCTCAAATGAATGAAAATAGTGGTAGCTCACTTTTATGCAGCATTTTAAGACATATTATGTACTTTCTGGTAAATATGGATGGATAATATATCTTATCCTGTTTTAAAATGAAGAAACTAAACCTCAAAGAGGTTGTCATTTGACTAGCCCTACTCTGTAGGGATCAGGGTCAGGATTTGAACCCATGTAATTAATTGATCGCGTGGTCTATTTTTTTGCTGTAGCACATCACAACTAATCACAGTTCTTTACAAGATTACGTCCACATGTAAAGAAATTTAATTTCTTCCCTGACCTCCTTTGTGTGTATGAAATTAGTCTTCAATCATTGTGAGCTCCACACAGGTTACTGGTTTTAAGCTAAGGGTCTGTCTGTAGGCTGAGCAAGTAGTGTGTGGTAAAAAGGTAATGAAAATGAAGTGCGGGGGACTCCAGAAGCGAAGACCCTGTTTCAAAAACAAATTGTTTTCCATTTCCCATGGCTCTCCTCTGCCTAAATTAATTGCCAAATCCATCAAGGCCTCCATTTGGGCCCCAGCAGACCAATACAGTCACATGCACTTGCATTCTGATCGACTCAAGTGTATGGCCCTGTGACCCTGTTTATCCGATCTGGAGTTGTTGCTTTTCTTTAACCTTCATGATCAATCAGTATAGACCAGGTACTGGGGGGAGGTATAGCTCAGCAGTAAAGCATGCGCTTAGCGTGTACGAGGTCCTACCCCCGGTATCTTCTCTAAAAAATAATAAATAAACCTAATTACCTCCCCCCTCAAAAAATGACCTATAGAGCCGACATTTAAAAACACTGGGAAAAATGGGCTTTTGCCTTAATGTTTCATGTTGTGTGAATTGAAATCTTGACTCGTTTGTGACATTCATTGTTGAAATGAACACTGATTCTGACCTCCGTATGTTTTTCTCTCACATACATGTATATATACGTGTATATTGCATATATGTACATATAATAACGTGTATATTCTCACTCTCATTGTGAAGGTCACGGGCAGTGTAACTGTGGAAGGTGTGACTGCAGAGCAGGCTGGTCCGGGAAGAAGTGTGAGCACCCGCGTTCCTGCGCGCTGTCGGCCGAGGAGAGCGCCCGGAGGTGCCAGGGGAGCTCCGCGCTGCCTTGCTCGGGGCGGGGTAAGCGAGGGCCTCGGCCCGGCCACCCCTTCTCACCCTGGGAGTGGGATGAGCTCAGTTCGCCTCTATCTTATTGAAAAGGTAGCTGAGATCCCTGAATAAGGGAAAAATCCGTCTTTTCAGAGCTAACAGTAACTCCAGTATCCATGAGTGAAAGCACGTGGAGAAATATAATCTCTCTCCCTCTCTGTCACACACACACACACTCGCTCTCACACTCACGCTCACCCTATCAGTCTACATCAGCTTTGAGGTCTGTTCAATTTCCATTCAGCTCAGTTCAGTTCAATGCTACATTAAAAGGGGAGGGGAAACCAGTTTAGATATTTGCTCAAAGCTTTCTGAGTAAGACCATCTAATTGTCCACTGACATTTCTGAAACTCAATAACATTCTGATGAGCTGTATCGTTGGCTTTTGAAAAAGCATCACATATAAGCAGATAGCTCAGAATAAGCTTGTCCTGTTTTAGAAGGCATGTAGCCTCAGGTGTGCCCTTGGTACCAGATCAGTACAAATTGGAGGAGAAGGAAGAATTCATCTAGAGGAAAGCTGGCTTCATTCTTTATGATTTATCGAAAAAAGAAATAACAGTTTCACCTCTGACATGAAAATGGCAAAGTTAACGTGAAATATGCCTTCAGAGGAACTAGTAATTAAAGTGATTACAAATTTTGTTCATGAAAAAGGAAAAGGAGAAAGATTTCCTTTACCTAAATGTTAGATCAGAAATTTAATTTTATGTTGCATAGATTTTTTTTTTTGGAAAAATGAATTTTTAAATTGAAATACAATTCAAATGTTATAAAATTCACTCTTTTAAAGTGTACAGCTTAGTGGGTTTTTGTATATTCACAGAACTACCTGACCATCACCACTACCTCATTATTGTCACCACAGAAAGAAACCCCGTACCCTCTTCACAGTCTCTCTCATTGTCCTCTCCACTCAGTCCCTAGAAACCACGAATCTACTTCCTGTCTCTGTGGATTTGTCTAATCTGGATATTTCACATACATGGAATCATAAAATATGTGTTCTTTTTGTTTCTGGCTTCTTTCACTTAGCTTCATAGTTTCAATGTTGCAGCATGTGTCATTGTAACGTATCTTCATTTTTATGGCTGGGCAATACTTATTTATATGGATATACCATATTTGTTTATTCATTCAACTGTTGGTAAATATTTGCATTGTTTCTACTTTTTGGCCATCATGAATAACTTTCTGTGGATACAAGTTTTTGTACACACGTGTGTTTTCAATTTCTCTTGGATATCTACCTATGAGGGGAATCACTGAGTCAGGTAGTAACTGTGTTTACCTTTCTGAGGTACCACAAGGTAGTCTATAGAGTGACTATACATTTCCTCCAGCAGTGGATGAAGGTTCCAGGTCCTCCACATCCTCATCATTATTTCTTATCATGTGTCTTTTTCATGACTTATAGCTTCCTCTGGGCAGAAAACTCCCAAAGTGTCCAAGATTATTTGTAACAGTGTTTTCCCATACTGTGATATTCATCCCTAATGATTATAGGTGGGAGGACAGGTGATGGGTGGAAGGAATTTTTAATCTCAGAAGCATTTCTGAATTGCCCAGTCTTTCGCTGATAATCCCAGACAGGAACCACTGTTCTACCGGCATTCATAAAATATTGTGATTCTAGTGCTTAAGTAAGCTTATTAAGCTTTTAAATAGCAAAGACTAAAAATCCCTCTAACTACTATTATTTATTTATTGCTAAAAATAACAAATATATAATGTAAAACTAAGAAAAGCATATAAAATATCTATGAAATGTAGAAAATGACTTTAGGTATATATGTATATATTTGCCAGTGGTTTTTCAGCTGTCTTGAGATTTTTTTATACAATGCTGGTGCAAGAGAATTATTTTTGGACTTTATATGTCAATTTTTAATGAACTCTGACAAACATATATTTGTCTCCTACCTTTCTAGAGATTCACTGACTTATTAGCTACCATTTTAAAGCAACAGAGTATATTTGAAGTTAATTTTATTAAAAGAATGTTGATAAGTATAGAATTATATTTTTTATTTTGGTTTTTGTAATTCATTCAAGGCTTTTGAAGCACTTTACAGATAAAATATGAGCTTCTCTGGTTTCCTGCAGGGAAATGGAGGTATTGATGAATAAAGTGATTTTTCTAGGGAACCATAACAAGATATAGGAGTTTTGAGCATGAAGGCCGAGGATTAATGACAGGCAGTCCAGTGCTCGGACCAATGGTCAGACACTCTTCCTTTCTCCCTCGGGCTGTATCTGCAACTCATGGGCATTGCATATTTCAAAGCAAAAAGCCAATGTGAAAACTTCCAAAGGATTGGTTTAGCAGTTTATGAATGACACCTGCAGCTGTGGTTACATGAGTGAGGAAAGCAATTACAAGGCCCGCCAGTTCTCCAGCCAGAGCCGCAGCAGCTCGCCGGCTGGGGCGGAGGGGGAAAAACAGTTCTCCTGGTGGTACTCGGGCTCCTCGGTGTAGTCCACCTTGGGGGCCAAATGCAGGCGTTTTTCACCAGAAATTAGCTCACTTGCTTCTGCCAGTGATGACTAAGTGTGATCATGATGTCTTAAAGTTAGAGGGATAATTTAGATGCTCTTGTCAATTCCCAGCTTTAACTCCCTCATCTAGTTAAGTAACTCTCATAGAGTCAGGATGTATGTACAGCGATTCATCCTAATTTCTGCTCCTGGGGCTGGGGGGAGGAGGGAGCTTTCTCAATTCTCCTGTCAGTGTTCTGCTCTAAAACTTAAAATGGTTTACGATGGTCTACACGTTAGTTTTAAACTCTTTTTGACTTAAAAATACATGTTTGGTATTATTGAGGGTCTCCTGAGTATGTGTTTGGCTTTGGCCAAAAAATGTGAGCAAAGGGATGTGTGGCATTGGGAGTGGAGGTTTAAGAGCTGGTCAGAGATTGGTCATTCCCTCTATTTCCCTGGTGAAGGGATTGGTAGTGTTTGAGATGGTGGCCGATGCATTAGCCTGGATCTCTGAATGAGGATGACCACCAGCAACCTTTGTGGACCCACCAAGGATCTGTAACGTGAGTGAGAAATAAACCTTTGTTGTCTTAAGCAGCTGAGATGCTGGGGTTGTGTGTTCCAGCCGCAGAACTCCTCACTCCTGTTCGCTTCCACAGCTCAAGCAAAGCAGACAAACAAGCAAAGCCAACAAAAATCACACTGAAATCCAAAGGGATAGGCATAAAAACTTTGAGGTTTATAACCATATATGTACATCTTATCAGTGTCAATATTGAAATCAAAATGAGCATAAATATCCATATATATGACGAATGATATGCTTACACTATTCTGTCAACAGCATTTGTGTGCACTTACTCAACAGCTAAAATGCTAAGGACATCAAATGCATTATCTTCTTTAATATTCCCCAAACAGAATGAGGTGAGAAGGAGCATAATTATTCTTCTTTTTACAGAAAAAGGAATTGGAAATTTGAACAGTTTGCCATCTTACATAGTAAGTGCCTGAGGTGCAAGTTTAATACCAACTTTTAATACAGGCCCTCCAACGCCAGAGCTGTCATTTTTTGTAGTTTACTAACATGCCAATTTGTGAACATGTTCTTTTAGCATGCCAATTTGCTGGACAACTCATAATGAGTATATTTTCATGTTATAAATATTCTTCTGCAAAATTATTGATTTGGCTGTATAGTATTCCATAATATGATTGTAGCAAAAGAATTTAACCAACCCTCTTTTCTTAGACGTCTAAATTGCCTCTTATTTTATTCAAGTTACAAATGTCATAATTTACATTCGTCTAGCAGAATATTTGCATAAATCTGAAGTATTAATTCTTTGCTGTGGATTGCATAGATCTAAATGAATAAAAATATATTAAAACTTTTCAATCAAAAAATTGCCCAAAGAATTTATATTCTCTGTAATAATTGTACCAGTATACCCCCCTACCACGAGTGGAAAAAGGGGTTCCCTTAGCTCACCAATAGTGACGATTTAACTAATCAATTTGCTTTTATGATGTATTTCGCTCTTAGCGTTATAAACTTTTACCATTTATCCAGCTCATCCATTGACTTCTATAATCATCCAAACAAATGATTTATCTGCAGGCATTAATATTCAGAGGCTTGTGTTTGCAGTATTTGCCTTCTTTGATCATCATTTGTCCTTGTGTCTAAGTCATCTTTTTGTTTGGTGCCGCAGTCCCATGTGCTTCTGTTGTCTGTCCTCTGTGCCCTTCGGTTTTCTTTCATCAGGCTTGTTCTAGGAGGTGTTACATATGTTTTGGTCCTTCAGCACACATAACCATACACCCCCACGAGGGGAGGTGTAGAATGGAAGAAGAATGATAAATTGAGGCTAATTACTTAATATTGTAGCTTCTAGAAAATAGAAACCATGTCCTCATTTTTATCCATTAGTATGCTTTAATTAATTAATTAAGCAAGTTGGTTCAATTCCCTCACCTAGGAACATACTTTCAAAGAATGATAGCATGCCAGATTCCCACCATCTGGAGATTTTTCACTTTAAGCCATAATTTATCTCCCCCTTTTACTGGCAAAGCACACCTTTAAATTCTCTTGCTTTTATTTATCAGAGAAGTTTTCCATGATACCTGTTATTTTTTCAACTTATGAGGCTTTTACCCTATGTGATTTTTTTTGACAACTAAATCGTTTTTATTCTTATTCACATATACAGAGATACAGTTATTATTTAGAAGAGAAAAAATTTTAAAAGCTTGAAAGTCCTCTAAATTTCTAAAAAAAAATTGGGGAGGAGGGACTTTTCATTTTTTAATTAAAATTTTTAACAGCTTTATTGAGGTATAATTGATGTACAAAACACTGCGCATGTTTAATGTATACAATGTGATGAATTTGGATATATGCCTACACTTGTGACGCCATCACCACAATCAAAGTGATAAACAAATTCATGACCTCCAAAAATGCCCTTGGATCCCTTTGCTT